AATACAACTTCAAGGCATTTGATAGATTTTGACCTTATTAATATGCTGTATTTTTTTCCATGCTCAAATCTTTACAGTTTTTGCACCAGAAAACAACAACTTATTTGCAGCGTTCTGCACTAGAAGCTCGCCTTCTTTGCCATACCCCTCATGTCAGTAAGACTTCCTTATCAAAAGTATGCACACAGTCTCAATCTCAACAGCGCAGAGTAGGCAGCTTTTATTTCACAACCTGGCTGCAGACAGTCAGAGAAACTACAAACAGGTATTGATATCCTTACTAGTGATGTCGCGAATCGTTTGCGAACTTGCCGCCAAAGGTTCGCCGCGGTTCGCCACGAACCGTTCACGGCGAACTCCTTTCAGCTGACACATCCCTGCCAATCTCCGGCAGACCCTCCCTCCCAGACCGGCAAGTTCTCGAACGGTTCGCGACATCACTAATCCTTACTACATGGCTCCCTGGGTGTCCTCTCCTCCTAATGTTGGTTGTTTTGTTGTTTTTCTGGTGAGAGGGGTGTAGCTAAAAAGGAATGCAGCATTCTGCAAAACAATTATTTATTTTATGCAAAAACTATAAAGATTTGAGCGTGCAAAAACGACAGCACATTAATGAGGCCAAAACCTATCGAACACATTAAAGTAGTATTAGCTTCCTGCTGTTTCACAGAGTTTAAGTCCATGAAACGATGCTGGACGTCCTCACCCTCTGCATGATTCAATGCTTTCCTATGGGGAAGGCCTAACTCACTGTTCATGCACATTACGTTCCCTCTCGCAATGACGTCGGAGGAGGCGGGTACAGAGCAAGCGCAGACAGACCTCGGCACTGGTATGAGGTACATGTTACACAAGGGGTTATTTAACCCTTTGAGGGCCGTGAAGGGGGGAAGGGAGCTTTGGAGCGGGGGCAGAGGGACACTATGGTGTTTGGAATACAGCTTTGTATTCTTAACTATAGAGTTATTTTTAATTGTTGCCCCACCAGCACACGTGACTTGGGGAGCCCAAATCTCTGTTCCGGGATGCCTAATGTTAATTATGACCATATTTTGCATTTGTCATTAGCGAGCACAGAAAAGTAAATTGCCAATAGGGGATTATATTTTAAAAACAAACGTAGGAAAAAAGGATCGGAGTAACCCTTTAACCATTTATCCATAGGATTGGGTGCTGAGACCTCCCTAAAAATTATGAAATGTCAAATAAAATGTATATTGTATCCCTCTAAAGGAGACTCCTAACAAAACGTCACGTATGATCTTTTTCTGGAAATGTAATTTCTTTTCCCTGTGATTTTGAGGTTAGAAGAAGAACTATAATACTTAAACTACACCATAGATCATATTTTACAAGTTGTCCTGGATAGGGTAAATATAAATGGGAAAAAGTTAGTCATGAAACGTGTTGCTAAAAAACATCTTTGGGACATGGTATTCTTATAAACAAAGGTCTAGACACTCCTAATAATGAAAGTTCTTTTTTACCAGGAACAGATACATTGAAATCTCTGCTGGTATTAATTTTCATGACCAGTCATAAGAATGAATTACTAAAGGTGACCTCTCAAGAAGGACTGAGAATGGAACTTAAGTTGTTGTTGCACTAACAAACTGATCTCTCTGGATTTAAAGTTATATGTTGTGGTTTTGATTTAAATGTGGCGTGACTAACGCCTCTTAATAACTTTCTTAGACTTGGATCTAGCAGGTAAAAATAAATACAGAATCCAGGGAAAGCTAATAAAGAGGTATTCAATTAAAGGGACATGCATCATTTGACAATTATTTTTTAAACCAGCAAGCAAATATTTTTATATAAATATACAAACAAAAATAAAGACAACATAAATTTAAAAGTATGAAATAAATATTTATAAATGTACTATAAACATGGTCAGATTGGATTATTGGGCACGCCTCTCAGCTAGGGGAGTTTCTTCATCCTCCCCCATCCCATATCCCTCTTACACACCCAGCTCAGTTTCAGACCAGTCCACTAATGACAGAAACAGGGTATCATTGTGCAGAAGCAAGAGACAGAAACTCGACACCGGAGCCTGCTCTGCAAGATAACACCGATCAGACTCCCTATCTTCTCTCTCTAACAGGATGTTTCAAGGTGAAGAGATCTTCCATGTGTAAATCTGTCAGTCATGCCCAATGACCCGTTCCAGCATTCCTAGGGATAGGGCATTGATTGGTTAGATCAGTGTAACGCCTGGAGCGGGTGTGGAAAGCATAAGAAAAAAAGAAGCAGGAAAAAAAATCATATCTACATTCCTTTTTCAGCCTGCAGAGTGAGGCAAATGACTCATTCAAAGCTAAACTTTTTGAATGAGAGAGCTGTCTCTTTAACACCTTCCCGACCTCGGACGTATCAAGTACGTCCAAAAAAAAACGACCGAGGTGATCGCAATGTGGGGACTTGCCTGGCATCTCAGGCAGTCCCTCTGCTGCTGATCCGCACCCCCCCCCACCCCCGGGCCATGTGATCGCGGGGTCCTCGCGATCACATGGCCGGAATAGCCGGCTTGTGCAGTACCTGTCCCCCTCATGCCTTCAAAAAGTTTTAAAAGTTAATAAAAGTTGGTAAAAAATTTAATAAAGTAAATAAAAGTACTTAGATCATATATATATATATATATATATATAATCTAAGTATTTTAATATACACATACACAATCCATTATTCTAAGTACATTTTAATATTAAAATATATATAATCATTAAAATGTACTTAGAATGATGTTAATTAGATATATAATTATATATATATATAATTATATATATATATATACATATAAAGCAAGAGGGGGTTGGCTGCACTCACCTTAACATGCATAAATGGGGGTGCTGCTGGGGGCCAAATAATACAATACACAAGATCCAGCGCACTCACCTATCCACTAAACAGCAACTTCAATGTTGAAAGATTTTATTTGTTTTTTTAAAAACACCTAATCTAGGCAAAAATAATGGGGGTTTAGTTACATTATATGATCATACATTGCATAAGCCTGCCACAACGTCAATGTACCCCATCTTTGGCAGGTCCTACACTAACAGCCTAATGTCTGCTCTTATGAGATTAACCTACTTGGGGAAAATAATTCCATCTGGGGCTCTCTGCAGTACAAGGCTAAATAGGGCCCTGGGATGAGGCACCTGTGACAGGGAGGGGTGCAAAACCAAGGAGTTGGCTAGACTCCCAAATATATATATAAAGCAAGGTGCCTCATCCCAGGGCCCTATTTAGCCTTGTACTGCAGAGAGCCCCAGATGGAATTATTTTCCCCAAGTAGGTTAATCTCATAAGAGCAGACATTAGGCTGTTAGTGTAGGACCTGCCAGGGCCGGACTGGGAGAAAAATTCGGCCCGGGCATTTTTTTAACACAGCGGCCCACTAAAAAGGGGGCGGGGCAGAGGAGGTGTGTTTTGTCACCAATGACAGACACGCCTCCTCTCAAAGTGAGCATGTTGGTTCAATGCTCTTCCAGGGCAGACCATGCGCAGAGCTCTGCTGAAGAGCTCTAGCATGAGAAAAAAGTCCTGTATTTGTTTTGCACAGTGCAAGCAAATTTAATAACATGCTTGCACTGTGTTTCCTTGCAACTTGTCTCTGGTGTCTCTATAAATGGATACCAGGAGACAAAAGGCCAGGAAAGAGTATTGTGCATGTGTTTGGAGCCTGCTTGTGGTATTGCGTGTGTGTAGAGTGAGCTGGTCGTGGTGTGGTATTGTGTAATAAGGTCGGTTTTAGTCGTGTTGTGTTTGTGGTGTAATGTGATGCATATGTGGCTATGGGCTGTAGAGAATGTGTGTATTGGGGATATAGCAAGTGTGTGCATACAGGCTATAGTGTGTGTGTGTTTAGGGGTGTAGAATGTGTTTGCTTACAAGGAATCTAGTGTGTGTGTATAGGGGATCCAGAGTGTGTATGTTAAAGGACCACTATAGTGCCAGGAAAACATACTCGTTTTCCTGGCACTATAGTGCCCTGAGGGTGCCCCCACCCTCAGGGACCCCCTCCCGCCCGGCTCTGGAAAGGGGTTAAAACTTACCTTTTTTCCAGCGCCGGGCGGGGAGCTCTCCTCCTCCGATCCGCCCCGTCGGCTGAATGCGCACGCGCGGCAAGAGCTGCACGCGCATTCAGCCGGTCGCATAGGAAAGCATTTATAATGCTTTCCTATGGATGCTTGCATGCTCTCACTGTGATTTTCACAGTGAAAAGCACGCAAGCACCACTAGCGGCTGTCAATGAGACCGCTGCTAGAGGTTTTGGGGGAAGGCTTAACCCATTGATAAACATAGCAGTTTCTCTGAAACTGCTATGTTTATAAAACAATGGGTTAACCCTAGAAGGACCTGGCACCAAGACCACTTCATTAAGCTGAAGTGGTCTGGGTGGCTAGAGTGGTCCTTTAAGAGTGTAGTGTGTGCGTGTATACATATATATATATATATATATATTTGGAAGTATTGTGTATGTTTGTGGTGCAGTGTGTTGGGGGGGGGGTTCTGTGTGTATGTGAGGGGTGCAGTATGTGTGTGTGAGAGTGCGGTGTGTGATGGGTGTGAGAGTGCCGTGTGTGAGTGATGGGTGTGAGAGTGCCGTGTGTGAGTGAAGGGTGTGAGAATGCTGTGTGTGAGTGATGGATGGGAGAATGCCGTGTGTGAGTGATGGGTGTGAGAATGCTGTGTGTGAGTGATGGGATGTGAGTGTGCTGTGTGAGATGGGTATGTGAGATGGGTGTGAGAGTGCTGTGTGTGTGTGTGTGAGTGCTCTGTGAGAGTGATGGGTGTGAGAGTGCTGTGAGAGAATGCTGTGTGTGATGGGTGTGAGAGTGATGGGTGTGAGAGTGCTGTGTGTGATGGGTGTGAGAGTGCTGTGAGAGTGTTGTGTGTGTGAGTGCTCTGTGAGAGTGCTGTGAGTGTGATGGGTGTGAGAGAGTGCTGTGTGTGTTAAAGTGCTGTGTGTGAGAGTGCTGTGTGTGTGTGTGAGAGTGCTGTGTGTGTTAAAGTGCTGTGTGTGATGGGTGTGAGAGTGCTGTGTGAGAGAGAGTGCTGTGTGTGTGTGAGAGTGCTGTGTGTGATGGGTGTGAGAGTGCTGTGTGAGAGAGAGTGCTGTGTGTGTGTGAGAGTGCTGTGTGTGATGGGTGTGAGAGAGTGCTGTGTGTGATGGGTGTGAGAGTGCTGTATAAATGTTATTGTGTGTATGTAGGGGGGGTAAATAATAAAAAAAAAAAAACAGGTATTATTCCCCCCCCTCCCTTCTTACCTTTAGCCTGGGAGGGGGGGACCGGCACGCTGGGACTGGAGGCGGGGAGGCAGTGTTCCCTGGTGGTCCTCGTGGGTGAGTGAACTCCTCGCGAGATCCGGTCGTTGCCATGGCAACGCGCCGGATCTCGCGAGAGGATCCCGGCGGAGCCGCAAATTAGAGCTCCGCCGGGTCCTCTCTCCAGCCTGGCTGGCTGTCTCCCTCCCTCCCCGCCGGCGGCCGCATGTGGGCCGGTCAGGGAGATCCTTGATCTCCCCACCGGCCCGTCGTGGCAAACAGCGGGGCCGGCGCTAGGAGAGTGCCGGCCCTGCATAGACCGGCAGGGGAGATCCTGGGACCTCCCCTGCCGGCCTCGGCCCCACGGACACCGCGGCCCACCGGGCAAATGCCCGGTGTGCCCGATGGCCAGTCCGGGCCTGGGACCTGCCAAAGATGGGGTACATTGACGTTGTGGCAGGCTTATGCAATGTATGATCATATAATGTAACTAAACCCCTATTATTTTTGCCTAGATTAGGTGTTTTTAAAAAAACAAATAAAATCTTTCAACATTGAAGTTGCTGTTTAGTGGATAGGTGAGTGCGCTGGATCTTGTGTATTATATATATAAAAATAAAAATAATAAATACATTGAAAAAGATGAAAAAAATTAAATACAATTTCATTAAATTAATTTTTTTTTTTAAATGATATACTGGGTTAGATTTGTTCTAACTCTATTTTAATATTAATATAAATATATATTTAAATCAAAATACATTTAGTATGACGTTATAAATACATATATGTATACATAAATAAATAAAAAAATATATATACATATATATTTAAATTCTACAAATATATGTATATAATATTTTTACATAATTAAATAATTTTATTAATTACAATTTGAGTGACCTGTCTGACAACCCAGGCAGAAAGTCCAGAGAATTTGGTTTGCAAGCTCTATATTTAACCCTGTAACTTTCCAGGGCACCATAAAACCTGTACATGGGGGGTACTGTTTTACTCGGGAGACTTCGCTGGATACAAATATTAGTGTTTCAAAACAGTAAAACATATCACAACGATGATATCATCAGTGAAAGTGCAGTTTTTTTGCATTTTGCATCACATCCAAACGGCACTTTGACATTCGATATAATTGTTGTGATATGTTTTACTGTTTTGAAACACTAATATTTGTGTTCTGTGGAGTCTCGCGAGTAAAACCTCACCCCTCATGTACAGGTTTTATGGTGTTTTCAAAAGTTACAGAGTCAAATATAAGGCTTACATTTTCTTTTTTTCAAATTGAAATTTGCCATATTGGTAAAGTTGCCTTTAAGACCGTACGGTTGCCCAGGAATGAGAATTACCCCCATGATGGCATACCGTTTGCAAAAGAAGACAACCCAAGGTATTGCAAATGGGGTATGTCCAGTATTTTCTTGTTGCCACGTAGTCACAAACTCTGGCCAAAATTAGCATTCAAATTAGTTTTTTGCATTTTTCACACACAAATATGAACGCTATTTGTGACCAAGTGGCTACTAAAAAAGACTGGACATACCCCAAATTGAATACCCTGGGTTGTCTACTTTAAAAAATATGTACATGTAAGGTGTGATTCAGAGATTTATGACAGATAACAATGTTACAATGTCATTATTGATACATTTAAAAAAAAAATATATTTTGAAACAGCAATCTCCTACTTGTACTTAAAGCCCTATAACTTGCAAAATAAATAAATAAATGCTAAGAACATGTTAACATTGGGTACTTCTAAACTCAGGACAAAATTTAGAAACTATTTAGCATGGGTGTTTTTTGGCGGTTGTAGAGGCGTAACAGATTTTGGGGGTCAAAGTTAGAAAAAGTGTGTTTTAAAAAAAAACTTTCATCATATCTTAGATTTCTTTATAGTAAACTATATGATATGATGAAAATAATGGTATCTTTAGAAAGACCATTTAATGGCAAGAAAAACTGTTTATTATATGTGTGGGTACAGTAAATGAGTAAGAGGAAAATTACAGCTAAATAAAAACACAGCAGAAATGTAAAAACAGCCCCGGTCCTTTACGGTAAGAAAATCGAAAAATGGTCTGGTCACTAAGGGGTTAAATTAGGTAACTTTTTTATAGGTTTACAACCACTTGATAGATATGACACATTATTACACTTTATTGGTTTATGGCTAGCTGTGATACTACATTTCTCATCATGTCCAACCAGTATGAGAAAATGTTTTGGGAGGAGGTTTAAAAAAAGTAAAAATAAGTGATTACCCTCTTAATACGGTAGAGGCTGCAGTGTACACTGGAAAATGAGTATCATTAAATGTGCTGATTATTATATTTCTATAATCTGTCAAATCAGGTAGACATAAATACAGAAAGTGAGATAGAGACTTTAAATATAAGATGGCTCAGTGTTACTTCTGTAAACTACTGTGTGATTTATCCGTAGGTTATTGCAGCTGTCGTCAGTCTAGATATGGAGAAGGATTACACATTCAAAACCTTCTCACACATTTTCTGCCAAACTTCTCTTTGCCTGGTCTACAAAGAGCAGAGGAAAATATGTTTAATAACTGCCTAAAAGGACAAGCAGTGGTGCAATAGACCAGGAAATAATTTTACAATAAATAATAAAATAGAAAAGAAACATTTGAAGCTGGATAATAGAAAAATCAATGACTTATGTGTGAAAGTATAAATACTTTATTTTTCTCATAAATGAAGCAGTGCCTCCCTTAAAGGAACACTCTAGCGTTATACAAATACAAATGTATATTCCTGATGCTATAGTGCCTTGTTATACGTTCAAGTGCCCGCATCTCCCGTCCGAAGGAAAAATGGCTGTGTACTTACTTAACTCTGGCCATCCAGATAATGCAGAACTACAAGTCCCATGATTCTTTGAATGAACTAGATAGCAAGAGAAAGATGGGAGTTGTAGGTCGTCAACATCTGGAGGGCAAGAGTCTGGAGAACACTAGTTTAAAGTTTTTATTTGAACTACACCATACCTGACTAGTGGCCAAAACACATCACAGGAAACGGTCATTCTTTCACAGTTCTATCCAGGGCCGGACTGGGAATTAAAAGCAGCCCTGAAAAAAAAATATTTACCAGCCCCATAATGCATCGCGCCAGCATAGTGTGCAGATACAGAGTTAGAACAGATAACTTAAAATTAAAAAGTACTCCCATGTAAAAAGCACACTCATAGGCTTCAAAATAAACAAAAGTGCAGATTTATTTTAAGCAGACGTGCCTTTGCATGTAATCAATGTTTCAGTCCAACTACCTTGACATATTAAGGAAAGCTTGTTAATGGGACTGAAATGGTGAATGTATGTAGGGCACAACTGTAAAAATTTTTTATTTTGAAGTCCTGTGGGTGTGCTCTTCACTTTAAATATGTTATTGTGCTGGAGTATGCACCTAGCAACAAGACTGGGCCAATATCTGCTCATTACATATGGTACATATTAATGACATTCCTCTGTGTATTATGCATATATAAATGTACATTAATATGTGTAAATATAATATAATATATATATATATAACTAATATACACATTAATATACATGTCATATACCAGTGACGGATCCAGAGCCTGAGCCCGGGAGGGGCACTTCTAGATTATTTAAAGAAATATTCCATGCACAATAACCACTACTCCTCTGTGTAGTGGTTATGGTGCCAGGAGTGTCGGCACCCCCTCCCAGAGTAAGTAGTCAAACCGTTTAAAAATAGTTTGACAACTTATCTATCTGTCTCTGTACCATGCTCCCTCGCGGTTGCCATAATTCCCAGCACAGGAACCGCGAGGGAGCATGGTACAGAGACAGGCTCCTCCTCCTTCAGCCATCAGCAGCCACAGCAGCCAGTGACAGAAACCCGGCCAGCCCCCTCTGAGTGCCACCGGACCGGCCACCCGGTGGCATCTATGTGGTAGCCCATCCCCAGGTGCTGCGGCCCACCGGGAAATTTCCCGGGATCCCGGTGGGCCAGTCCGGCCCTGGTTCTATCTTACTATAAACACTTTCCTATTGTTAATGAGCTGAAACTAATTTGCTGGGAGTATCATACCCTTGCAGTTACCAATTCCCGAACATGCCTGGCGTAAGGATAGGTTCTAAAAGGGTATGTGGTAATATATTGGGCAGTGTAGGCTCATCCATAGAGACATATTGGGAGCCTGTGGCTGCTCACTGTAAAAAAAAAAAAAAGTAAGGTCCCCCCTCCCAAGCGTCAAACTAAACGGGGGACCCATTTTTTTTTTTTATAATTGCATCGGTTGGGGGGATCTATTGTCCTCACCCCCGGCCCCCACCCCTGAGTGGCGGGTAGGGGCCCTAAAAAAATTGCCCCCCTCAGGTGACTAGGGGTCCCCAAAAGGGGGGGACCTTTAACTAAGTACCTGTAAAAGAAAATAAAACTTACCATTCGATGTTTTCTTTGTTCTAAAATCTTATTTTTTCAGCCCCAAAAAAGGCCAAATAAAAAAGATAATAACCGACGCAATTATATAAAAAAAATGGGTCCCCCCTTTAGTTTGACGCTTGGGAGGGGGGACCTTATTTTTTTTTATTTTTTTTTTTACAGTGAGCAGCCACAGTAGACATGCCCCTACTCGCAGCATAGCGAGTAGGGGCATAATTTACTAATACTAAGTAATTTTTACTCAGTATTAGTAAATTTGGCTGAAAGACCAATTTGGGTCTTTCAGCCTTTTAGTAGATAGCTCCCTAATACCGTGGGAATTAGGGAGTTATCTACTTACTCATTCCTGTCATTACATTGACTGGCTAAGTAACTTACATTTTATATGAATGTGTGTTACTTGATTGTTGTAAGTGTTGCAAATGCTTACAGCTGAATCCTGGCTATGTTTGTATACTTTTTATTTAAAATTATATACAATGTAACATTCTCCTTCTTTCACTG